GGACTTGAGAGGATTAAGAGTGAAGAGGTGGAGTCTAGTCTGTCAATCAGGTCATGGCCAATGAGGCCTCTGTGTGGGCATGGCCTTCTCCTGAGAATTCTGGGAATTCCTGGTATTTTCCTCCTTGGAGGCGGGAGATACTTTCTCTCTCTACTTCTTGCCTGTGAGACATCCCGGAGGAGAAGCCACATGGACCTACCCTGATGCAGCCCTGGGTGCTGGAGAAGCCACATGGAGACCCCTGCCAGCGCTGAAATGCTTACACACTTACAGGATCCAAAGACTTTCTACCCACTGGCCTGTGATCGTCCTGCACTCAGCGTCATTGCATGCGTTTCGTGAGTCTGAAGAGGACTTTATATATTGGTATCTGACATATGGCCTAATATCTGACTTATGGGCTTGGACTGGACAGGGGTTGGAATGCTTTTTTAATGTACAATTACCCTTTATATAAAACTCTCTCTTATACACATATGTGTGTCCATGGATTTCTTTCTCTACTACCCTGAACTAACACAGCAACACTGTAGGACAGGGTAGAACTGCCGGTGTGGGTTTCCAAGATTCTAATTCATTTGGGAGCAGAGAGCCTCGCCTTTCTTCTCGGAGTGGCCTGGTGGGTTTGGACAGCTCACCCTGTGGAGTGGCCTGGTGGGTTTGGACAGCTCACCCTGTGGATCGCAACCCAATGGGTAACCACTGTGCCACCAAGGTTCCAAACTAGAGGATTTATATCCTGTAGAATCAAACAATAGTACAATACTTACAATGCAATCAATGGTCACAAGCTATTGCTTTTATGGTTTTTGTGTATAAATCATTTTATTGGGGGCTCTTACAGCTCTGATGTACAATCGATACATCAGTTGTATCAAGCACATTTTACATACGTCACCATCATCATTTTCAAAACATTTTCTTTCTACTTGAGCCTTTGCTATCAGCTCCTCATTTTTTCTCTCCCTCCATCCCTTGATGATTTATAAATTATTTTTATTTTCATATCTTACACTGACCGTTATCTCCCTTCACCCACGTTTCTGTTCTTCATCCCCTTTGGGATGGTGGGCAGTTAGTTATACATCGATCATTGTGATCAGTTCCCACTTTCTTCTCCTACCTTCCCCATACTCCCATTACTGTTCCTGGGGGGTTCATCTGTCCTGGATTCTGTGTGTCGACAGCTCTTATCTGCACCAGTGTAGATGCTCTGGTTTAGCTAGATTTGTAAGGTAGAACTGGGGTCATGATAGTGGGGGTGGGGGTGGGGACGCATGAAAGAACTAGAGGAATGCTGTGTGTTTTGTAGATGCCATGCTGTCCCCTGGCTGGCTCGTCCCGTCCAGGTGTAACTCACACACAGCATGTTTACAGAATTAAGAACCCATCTTGGCGTGCTTTCTCATATATATCATGCCTGGGTCGTCACCGCCCAGAGCAAGATAGAGAATGTGTTGCTTTGTGTCTCCCTGTAACCACGCCCATCCCCAGGCCCTAGTCTCCCAAGACCATTGTTTCCTTGGTTTGTCCTTGGACTACGTGCAAGTGGAGTAATTTGGTTGGCTTCATGCAATTAGTATAATGTTTGTGAAAGTCATTCGTGTTGTCGTGAGATCAAGCTTTTAGGAAAATAAGTCGTCACTGCTGTGTAGCACGGCCTGGGCTTGGGCCATGTTCCACGCTACTGGACCTAGCTACTCTGAGTCAGAACCGACTTGCTGGCACCGAGAAACGAGCAACATGTAGTATTCCATTATAGAAACACATGCAATTTGTTTATCTATTCATGTCTCAGTGGCTGTTTGGGTTGCTTTTGTTCATTGGCCTTTATGAATCAAACTCCTAGAGATGCGAATTGTGCATGTCTTTGCTGGACATAGCTACAGGCAGTCC